GTGTGTGTGTGTGTGTGTGTGTGTGTGTGTGTGTGTGTGTGTGTGTGTGTGTGTGTGTGTGTGTGTGTGTGTGTGTGTGTGTGTGTGTGTGTGTGTGTGTGTGTGTGTGTGTGTGTGTGTGTGTGTGTGTGTGTGTGTGTGTGTGTGTGTGTGTGTGTGTGTGTGTGTGTGTGTGTGTGTGTGTGTGTGTGTGTGTGTGTGTGTGTGTGTGTGTGTGTGTGTGTGTGTGTGTGTGTGTGTGTGTGTGTGTGTGTGTGTGTGTGTGTGTGTGTGTGTGTGTGTGTGTGTGTGTGTGTGTGTGTGTGTGTGTGTGTGTGTGTGTGTGTGTGTGTGTGTGTGTGTGTGTGTGTGTGTGTGTGTGTGTGTGTGTGTGTGTGTGTGTGTGTGTGTGTGTGTGTGTGTGTGTGTGTGTGTGTGTGTGTGTGTGTGTGTGTGTGTGTGTGTGTGTGTGTGTGTGTGTGTGTGTGTGTGTGTGTGTGTGTGTGTGTGTGTGTGTGTGTGTGTGTGTGTGTGTGTGTGTGTGTGTGTGTGTGTGTGTGTGTGTGTGTGTGTGTGTGTGTGTGTGTGTGTGTGTGTGTGTGTGTGTGTGTGTGTGTGTGTGTGTGTGTGTGTGTGTGTGTGTGTGTGTGTGTGTGTGTGTGTGTGTGTGTGTGTGTGTGTGTGTGTGTGTGTGTGTGTGTGTGTGTGTGTGTGTGTGTGTGTGTGTGTGTGTGTGTGTGTGTGTGTGTGTGTGTGTGTGTGTGTGTGTGTGTGTGTGTGTGTGTGTGTGTGTGTGTGTGTGTGTGTGTGTGTGTGTGTGTGTGTGTGTGTGTGTGTGTGTGTGTGTGTGTGTGTGTGTGTGTGTGTGTGTGTGTGTGTGTGTGTGTGTGTGTGTGTGTGTGTGTGTGTGTGTGTGTGTGTGTGTGTGTGTGTGTGTGTGTGTGTGTGTGTGTGTGTGTGTGTGTGTGTGTGTGTGTGTGTGTGTGTGTGTGTGTGTGTGTGTGTGTGTGTGTGTGTGTGTGTGTGTGTGTGTGTGTGTGTGTGTGTGTGTGTGTGTGTGTGTGTGTGTGTGTGTGTGTGTGTGTGTGTGTGTGTGTGTGTGTGTGTGTGTGTGTGTGTGTGTGTGTGTGTGTGTGTGTGTGTGTGTGTGTGTGTGTGTGTGTGTGTGTGTGTGTGTGTGTGTGTGTGTGTGTGTGTGTGTGTGTGTGTGTGTGTGTGTGTGTGTGTGTGTGTGTGTGTGTGTGTGTGTGTGTGTGTGTGTGTGTGTGTGTGTGTGTGTGTGTGTGTGTGTGTGTGTGTGTGTGTGTGTGTGTGTGTGTGTGTGTGTGTGTGTGTGTGTGTGTGTGTGTGTGTGTGTGTGTGTGTGTGTGTGTGTGTGTGTGTGTGTGTGTGTGTGTGTGTGTGTGTGTGTGTGTGTGTGTGTGTGTGTGTGTGTGTGTGTGTGTGTGTGTGTGTGTGTGTGTGTGTGTGTGTGTGTGTGTGTGTGTGTGTGTGTGTGTGTGTGTGTGTGTGTGTGTGTGTGTGTGTGTGTGTGTGTGTGTGTGTGTGTGTGTGTGTGTGTGTGTGTGTGTGTGTGTGTGTGTGTGTGTGTGTGTGTGTGTGTGTGTGTGTGTGTGTGTGTGTGTGTGTGTGTGTGTGTGTGTGTGTGTGTGTGTGTGTGTGTGTGTGTGTGTGTGTGTGTGTGTGTGTGTGTGTGTGTGTGTGTGTGTGTGTGTGTGTGTGTGTGTGTGTGTGTGTGTGTGTGTGTGTGTGTGTGTGTGTGTGTGTGTGTGTGTGTGTGTGTGTGTGTGTGTGTGTGTGTGTGTGTGTGTGTGTGTGTGTGTGTGTGTGTGTGTGTGTGTGTGTGTGTGTGTGTGTGTGTGTGTGTGTGTGTGTGTGTGTGTGTGTGTGTGTGTGTGTGTGTGTGTGTGTGTGTGTGTGTGTGTGTGTGTGTGTGTGTGTGTGTGTGTGTGTGTGTGTGTGTGTGTGTGTGTGTGTGTGTGTGTGTGTGTGTGTGTGTGTGTGTGTGTGTGTGTGTGTGTGTGTGTGTGTGTGTGTGTGTGTGTGTGTGTGTGTGTGTGTGTGTGTGTGTGTGTGTGTGTGTGTGTGTGTGTGTGTGTGTGTGTGTGTGTGTGTGTGTGTGTGTGTGTGTGTGTGTGTGTGTGTGTGTGTGTGTGTGTGTGTGTGTGTGTGTGTGTGTGTGTGTGTGTGTGTGTGTGTGTGTGTGTGTGTGTGTGTGTGTGTGTGTGTGTGTGTGTGTGTGTGTGTGTGTGTGTGTGTGTGTGTGTGTGTGTGTGTGTGTGTGTGTGTGTGTGTGTGTGTGTGTGTGTGTGTGTGTGTGTGTGTGTGTGTGTGTGTGTGTGTGTGTGTGTGTGTGTGTGTGTGTGTGTGTGTGTGTGTGTGTGTGTGTGTGTGTGTGTGTGTGTGTGTGTGTGTGTGTGTGTGTGTGTGTGTGTGTGTGTGTGTGTGTGTGTGTGTGTGTGTGTGTGTGTGTGTGTGTGTGTGTGTGTGTGTGTGTGTGTGTGTGTGTGTGTGTGTGTGTGTGTGTGTGTGTGTGTGTGTGTGTGTGTGTGTGTGTGTGTGTGTGTGTGTGTGTGTGTGTGTGTGTGTGTGTGTGTGTGTGTGTGTGTGTGTGTGTGTGTGTGTGTGTGTGTGTGTGTGTGTGTGTGTGTGTGTGTGTGTGTGTGTGTGTGTGTGTGTGTGTGTGTGTGTGTGTGTGTGTGTGTGTGTGTGTGTGTGTGTGTGTGTGTGTGTGTGTGTGTGTGTGTGTGTGTGTGTGTGTGTGTGTGTGTGTGTGTGTGTGTGTGTGTGTGTGTGTGTGTGTGTGTGTGTGTGGGTGGGTGGGTGTGTAAGTGTTAGTCGTGTGGGGATGCCCCCTTACGGGGGCGTACGTGTCTTTTGGTGTATTAGTCTGTCTGGTATATTGTTTGTCGGGGGTCGCAATTTTAAAGAAATGTATTCAAAAATAATGCAAATAACTGATAAATAAAGTAAAAACTTACCTGGGCATAACCCCGGCACATATACCTGTAACAAAGATGCCGACGGCCTCTATGCTTGAGCCGGGGATTAGGTCGGTGGTTAAGAGGAAAGAAAAGGATACTTTCCAGGTAGCCTTAATAAAGGCAGGTAGATCTTGCTCGTTGCAATGCACTTCACTTTACAATAAACACGACCGCTCAGTTCGACCGCTCGCACGAGAAAGATTCTATAGACCAAAATTGTAAGAAATTTTATTGTGATTTCAAAACTGTACTTACAAACAAAAAATTGCATTTTTGCATTTTATAGATACAAACTTATAAATTATTTATTTACAAAAAACACATGTTTAATAAATATATATGAAATGCTACATTGAATTGTTTTTCTAAGTACAGTTTTCCTGGAACTTTGGCCCAAACAATTTTTTCCTAAATATGAAGGGAGCAAAGATTAGAGGAGGAGAATATTGTGAATAACCTAAGATGTATAAATTTCAAGTCTGACAATGAGACAAGACTGGTGCTCCGTGACTAAGAAAGATTCATGGCGTATGATATAACCACAGACAATATAGCTTATCACCATAACTATTTTGTCTATGATATAACTTTGGATTTCAATACCTATATTGATTGAATACGAAGTATCTTGAAGCAAATGGGCAAATACTTCAAGGACAGCTTCCTTGAATGAAAATAAATTGATTTAGATCAAAATCAAGTTAGCTTAGTACAGTTTTGCTTTGTTAAAAAGTTATGGGCCTTCAAAGAAAATTTTTATTTAATTTTTTGAGACAATTAGCAAGAGTGAAGCTACCCAAATATTCAGCTGTAATCGATGAGTGCAGTAGAAAACTAAAATTCAATTTTCTCCTGAACGGTGCATTTTAAGGATATGCAACGAGTATGACCATTTTGCCGTAAATAAAGTGGTATTTCATAAAATATCTCTGTTCTCTCAAAATTTCTGTCAACAAAAGAACATGTCAAGAAAAAACAATGTACTGCATAAACTATTTTAACAACCTCCTTGTTTTATACAAAACTATCCCGGTTACCTCAAAATCTCAAATTTCATATGCTCGTATCTTAAATACGAGTATATTTAAATGTGATAGCATTATCTCACAAAAATTAAATAAAAAAAATTACTTGAAGGTCGCAACTTTAAAAGAAAAACTTTCAAAGTAAAATTTTACAATTAAAGAAATTTGACCTGAGTCGGTTGTATTTCTACCCAAGAAAGCTATCTTGAAAGTGTGGCTCATTTGCCTCCAACACCCTGTACAAGCTATGAGCTTGTATCTCTTAAGATAATCAAGATCCCTATGGTGCAGTTTGGAAAATGGACACTCAATATACAAATACATAATTAAAAAGAATTTGAATGTTTTTCGTAGCACCCTTAAAATCTTCTGAGAGAGCTCTACAGCAAATAGGCAACCAGCAATACATTTTTATAGATTTTATTACACAGTTTGTCTACATATGAATTAATGCACAAATAACAGACTTTCCCCCATTTTAAGGCAGATTTTCTAGAAAATGGACTTAGTTTGAAACTCAAATAACTGTTTGATGTGAAGAAATTTGCGATATACGATGTTACTTGTTCAAAAGCGGCAAATTACAAATTTCTTTAAAACAAAAAGTAATTTAAGCTTCAAACTAACTCCATTTTATAGAAAATTTGCGTTAAAATGGAGGAAAGTCCGTTATTTGTGCATTAATTCATATTTAGACAAACTGTGTAATAAAATCTATAAAAATGTATTTCTGGTTGCCTGTTTGCTAGAGCCCTCTTAACTAAAAAAATTTCTATAAATAAATCAGTCTTGTAAGTCTTCTTTAATCTTTGTGTATCACTGTTAAGAATTTGATAAAATAATCAACTTTATCGAGTGCATTTTAGAAAATGTAAAAAATATTTTAAAAAAATAAAAAAGCCATTTTTTTATTCTTCTTTAGCTGTTATTACAAAAGTGACAAAATGTTACCCTTGGCTAAATTCAATCATCAAACACCAATACGCAGTATTGCATTAAAAAACACGTATAATAATATATAAATGGTTTACTGATATACATATAACTATATATTAAAAAATTAACAATACACTTTATACAATGAACTGTGTTGCGTTGCTCTGTGAAATATAAAGAATACCCAATTGTTCTTCAATAACGATTAAAATGTGTTTATTCCTTGCCAGGATGTTAGTCGAATATAAAAAACACATCTCAGCATAACTTATTTTTGTTCTTAAGATTATCCTTTATCCTGAAATAATAAACAAAGTAATTTTTAACTTTAATGAAAAATACGTACTTTCGGCCAGTATCAACTTTATTGAAAGCAACAAATATTTATCCCACCAGCTATTTATAAAAAAACGTATTTCTGTGCAAATATTTCATATCTACACTGTCGAGGACTTCCAATTTATAAGTTCGAGTTGCTTTGAATAAAGTTTTTACGAAAACGGAAGCTGTTTGGAAAAAATATACGGTTATGTAGTTTCATTAAAAACGTTGCAAAAAAAATTACTTAATTTGGCCCATCGGTTTCAGATTTTCGGCAACTTGAAAACTGCACCCCGTCGATACCAAAATGTCTTCAACACCAACTCCCTCTGCAACTTCTATAAGCGTTAAACCGTTTTCACGGTCAACATTGAACACTGCTTTCTCAGTGATTATCATGTTAACACACTGTTTTCCCGTGAGCGGTAAATTGCAATTTTCTAAAATCTTATGACTGCCGTCTTTTGCCGAATGTTCCATACAGACCACAACTTTCGTCCCAGGGGCTGCCACAAGGTCCATGGCGCCACCCATGCCTTTCACCATTTTCCCCTAAAAAGAAGTGACGGAAATAAAAAATATTATTACAAAGTATGTCTGGCAATTCTGCCGACAGATGATCTTATTTGTTAATTAAATAATGCGAGAGTAATTTAATGCTGAATGCAGTTGTAATCCGCAGAGTAGTGTCATTAGTTAAATAGGTTACTTTTTATACTTTTAATTTTGGATAATTATTGTAATGTTAATTTTCGTTAATTTATAGCAGACTTTTGATGAAGGTTTTGGAAAATCTAAACAAGTCAGAAACAATATCTCTTGACTGTAGCAATTATACAAGTTTTGTTTATTATGCTTATCGTTACGTTTCCCAAACTTTTCATACCTGTTAAAAATTCAGAAAATTGTTTACTGCACTATAAAAATAATCACTCTTCAAAATGCTTTTAAGGAATTATTAACACAATAATTAATCACAATTATTGAGTACTTTTTACTCTCAACAAAACAGGAATGCTACTGCTATATGGGTGTCAGATTTTCTGTAACCTTTCGCTACAAAAAATTAAAGGAATCCTTGTATTTCAACATTTCAATAGTTGCACATTGAAAGTGCATAAACCAATAAGAAAATCATGCATTTGATGGTGTTGTTTCTGATAATACACTTTTTAAATCAGTTTTTTGATATTATTTTGGCAGTTAGAACAGTTAATGAGCTAATATTTTCATACCTCTTTTTCACTTGACAAATTATTATTTCATATTGCATGAAAAAGTACATGAACGATTGACAAAAATCATGCTATTCATTTTTTCCTACAGTTTTCTCAACCTCGGAAATTAAGGAATTCTGATAACGCATATTTTTAATCAGTTTTTCAATATTATATTAGCAATGAGAAAAATAAGAGTGTTTGTGTTTGCGTTCTGTTAATAATATCTGTTTCTTACTGTAATTTTATAAAATAAATTAAAAAATTCTAGATCCTCATGACAAAACTTCACTTGCTAAACCAAAAAAGTCCCCTCTATATATTTTTCCGGAAGTTTTTTTTTATTTTCAATTAAGCATGTTTTAGAGATAGACAATTAGGTGTCCTGTAACGTTATTTTTCACTATATAGGAAATAACTGAAATCTGTATGTCTAGAGGATTATAAAGCTAACAATTTATTTTCGCTTTAAAAAAAACAAATAAGATATTTAAGGTCACAATTCATCAATGATATAGAAATGTCTTAGAAACTCACATTATAAGTTTTTTAACTGTTTTCGAAACAGCTGAAAGGAAAAAACAAAATGCAAACAACTGAACAAAAATGTTGTTTTTCTTCCTAAATCAATATTGAAAAGTTAATTGAAAACCACCAGAATTAATTGTCAATTCAATAGTTTAGAAAAGTGTGACAACACAATCACACGCATGATTTTCATCACTAGTTCATGTATTTTCAAAAGAAAAGGAATTTCGTCAGTACAGCCTCGGAATTATAAAAAAATTTTAAAAAATCGCTAAAACCACAAGTATTCACCCAGGGCTTTTTCAGGTAGGAGTTATTACAATATGTCAGTTTGTCAAGAAACACATGAAAATGGAATTAATAGACACATGAATATTAATAGACCAGGCGGGATCTGTTTTGGTGTAATGTGTAATATAGTATCGCTAATTAGAAAAAAAAAGCATTATGCTACATTTTTATTGAATATAAATTAATTTTAAATGTTTATACACATTTATAAAAATTAAACAATAATTTAATCAGTTATTGATTTCATTTTATTTGAAATATAAAAAGTTTTATGAAGTTAAGAAATTCTATATAAATTATTATTACTATTATTATTAAACCTTTATTTATATGTATAATTATTCTTTGAACAAATTTTAAATGTTTAAACAAATTGAATACAATGTGCGGATAAAAACTATATAAATTTGAGTAATATTCATTAATAGAATAAAGAAAAATACCAGAAAAGTAAAACAAATTAAAAAGTAGTAATTATCAAAACGTTAATAGGTCGATAATTAACGATAATTCCCATTTGAAAATGCGATATTTGGACTTTTCAGCTCGCGAGACATCGATTTTTAAAAAAAACATCAAAATCGGACCACTAGAAGCCGAGATAATCAAAATTTTTAAGCGCACCGCTATTTTGAACGCACAATTTCAATTTCGAGTCGGTTGGAGTAGCCGAGCTCTCGATTTCTGCCACCACTACCTCCCATACATTTTTCGTGAATTTCATGCTCGGTCCAATAGTTTTAATCGACATTTTATAAGGGTTGCACAAGGGCGCAAGTTCTGCAAGTTCATTCCCAGAAAGTACTCAGAATGACAAAGGTATTTGTTTAAAAAACAGCCCTCCAGACTTCGTAGTTACGCTACAAATGCCAGTCAACTTTGATCAACTATAACTCTGGAACCAATTAACGAATCACCACGTTTTTTTTTAAAAAGAAGCGTCTTTCCGCGTACTTTAAAAGCATAATTTAAAAAAAATAATTATAATGAATTTATAAAGTTATTCTATTTGTTTATAAGCGCAAAAATTACCCATATATATCTTTAGAGAATTACCACGGTTCTCCTAATTAATGGAATTCAATTTGTCTGGACGCATTTTAAAGTTTGAGTGCCCTTTTTTTGTGATAAAATTTTCAAGTATCTAGAAGTCTTAATTTAGGCTCAGTTAAATTTGCAAAAATTTAAATTTTTTTCAAAAATCTGGATTGCAAAATTATTACTCGAAAACTATCAGACCGATTTTAACGAAAATTGGTGTGATGTTTTATTATATCAAAAAGATTTGTTTGGTCAAGTATGAAGATCTTACCTATAATATAAGTATTTTTAAAAAAATCGCAAAAATATTGTAAATTTTTTCAGTTTTTTTTTGTTGTTTTGGCTGTATTTGCAATAATTATGTTGTATTTTTTTATTCGATAATAGGTATGTCTTGTGTAAAACTTAATTAGGAATCTTTCTTTCCTCTTCAATTTTTCTCTAAAATTAATAGTTTTTGAACTGTGTTGAAATAAAGAGAAAAAAAAATAGAATTTTTCCATTTTTTTCACTATTTGTTTAATAATAAGTTTAGCACACGTTTTGAAGCGCGCGCATAGTGAAATTATGTTTTGTTATATCATTTTGGAGCCATTAAAGCAAAAATTAGCAATACTATATAAAATATCCATACATGGGTGTTTTGAAACAGATCCCACCTGGTCTATAATAGATATTATATAAATGTTTACTAATCTCATTTTTAAAAAGGGGCTGTTCAAAAAACCAATCTAAAATGCAGAAATAATTTAGTTACGTTATCTTGGCTGAATTTTGTGCTGATATTTGTCAAAAGTAACCTTATAATTGTTAGAAACCAAAATAGGAGACATAAAGTTTACAATACTAATTATTTCAACATATCAGGTATGAGAGTCATTAGTAGTATTTGGATAGATTATATATTTGTATTTTCGGCTACTCTCAATGTCTGGCTTGTATGTAATCATACCTATAAAGTAAAATAAAAACTGCTAACATAATGCTAAAAATCTTGCAAGAAAAAAATTAAGAGCAAATGCAATACCAAAACTATTCACCTACATGTACTTCTACGAAAGTGTTAAAACATTTTATGTCACGGCTAACAATTTTTTCAATGCTACAGATAATAATTGTCACACTTTATGAACAGGTTTCACTTGCTAATTATAATTAGAATTACAGTTTCAAATAAATATGGTACAAATTATGAAATAACTTACGGGAATCATCCAATTGGCTAAATCGCCATATTGTGAAACTTCCATAGCACCCAATATTGTCAAATCGATGTGACCCCTAAATATTAAAAACAATAAATGGGGTCATATTCAATTTTATGTGATATAATAATTACCCTCTAATCATGGCGAAACTTTCATCGCTGCTGAAGAATGAGGCTCCACTAACAACAGTTACCGTCTCTTTGCCCGCGTTTATAAGGTCCGGGTCGACGAAATCGGGATGAGGAAACGGTCCAAGGCCTAATATGCCATTTTCGGACTGCAAGAATACCTGCATGTTGTCCGGGATATAGTTGGAAGCCAGCATGGGCATTCCTATTCCCAAATTGGCTGTAAAAGTGTTAAGGTAGCAAACGTTCTTAAAATAAATTCTAACAGAACTCATTTAATCAATAGCTTTAAACAAAAAGTTTAAATGAATGTCTGTTTTTAAAAAAGTTATTACAAATTGCAAATAACAAATAATAATGTCTAGAATATTGAGTTTACTGAAAAAAATTACTAATTTTTAAAAGGATACCATACATTCCGTCTTTAAATTCGAGTGCTACCCTTCGAATAATCCTTTCCCTACGTTCTGCTGCCGGATTTTTCTTTACGATGGACTCAACACTATCCGACAACTTTTGTACTGTTATTTTCTAAAAACATTGCAATTAAATACATTTTTTAAATTATAGTCACACGTTTAAACCCACTTCTATCCTCTTCTCATACTTCTTTCCCTTGACGATTTTATCCACATAAATTCCCGGCAAATGAACGTTATCCGGTTCAATTTCCCCTAAATCTACAATCTCTTCTACTTCAACTATGGTGATTTTAGCTGCCTTGGCCATCGCAGGGTTAAAATTTCTCGCCGACTTCCTAAAATTCAAATTAGGGGGTTACAGGATCAAGCCTTCAAATGTGACTGACCTAAATACTAAATTTCCCGCTGGATCGGCTTTCCACGCTTTAATAAAGGCAAAGTCCCCGGTGATGGCCTCCTCCATGATATAAGGTTTTCCATTAAATAACTGAGCTTGCCTTTGGTTGCTTGCAATTTCGATTTTGCCATCTTTGTTGTATTTTATTGGAGCACCACCTTCATGAACTAGAGTTCCGAAAGCTGTAGGTGTAAAAAAAGCCGGAATTCCGGCACCCCCTGCCCTTATTCTTTCAGCAAGTGTACCCTGAGATACAGATAACAGATAAAAACCTTTACGAAATTGTTTTTCTACCAAAATTACATATTTGTACAGTAGATAAAATAAGTCAATATATTAAAGTTGTAAGTATGCAATAAAGGTTTACTATCAACAATTAAGGTCAAAGGGTAATTTTGTAATAATTACACATAACAAAATAATTCACTATCTACTGCTTTAAACAAATGTCGTTAATGTGTATTACAAATTATTCAATTATTCTTCAAGTGTTGATACTTTACTTTTAAATTTCTAGTTTCTAATATCCACTTCCTTATCTAAAGAGTCTAGATTACACCATTCTTATAATTATTTATTATCTATCATGATTCTTCAACTAATACGTAATGTTTTACTTACTTGTGGTGTAAGTTCAACTTCTAATTCTCCCGAAAGAAATTGTTTTTCAAACTCGGCATTTTCCCCAACGTATGAAGCAATCATCCGCTTGATTTTTTTTTCTTTTAGTAGTAAGCCTAAGCCAAATTTATCGACTCCTGCATTATTCGAAACTACTGTTAAGTCCTTTGCATTGTGTTTAAGTAACGCCGCTATTAAATTTTCTGGAATGCCACACAACCCAAAGCCTGAAAGTTTTGATAAAGTAGACATTCTTTCGGTAAAATAATGTATGTTTACTTACCTCCAACCAAAAGTTTTGATCCATCCTGTATATCTGCTATGGCATCTCCTATATTTTCACATATCTTACTTCGAGGTTTTGTAGCAAAAGTACATGTAAGAATCTAGAACGTATTTATTAGAATTCAATTACTTTTTTCAAGAATGGAGATAAGTGTATGTACATATAACCTCAATTTCCATGTTAAAGATATTAGTGCAATAAACCAAAAATATTACCTTACTAATATTCTGTAGATTAAAATTGTACTGTCCATTGTAAATCACTTTTAAATTAGATTGATTCTGAAGAAGTCTGAAAGTTTTCAACATTTTATAAATCGTAAAAATTTCAGTCTAATCTTACACACTAACAGCAAAATAGAGAATTTACTGAACTTGTGAACTTTGGCAAATGTCTCGACAAATATGTTTTCTGAATTCTAATAAAAAACAACGATCTAAATCATACATAAAGGTTAACTAGTGTGTTGTTTATCTCGTTTCTTCATAATGCGACTATATTTATCTTTATTTTTAAAGCATACTTATATTTGAACTGGAATTATGAAAAATTAAGTTTTACAGATAAATTATTTTTTCGATTAAAAATGATGAACATTTATGAAAATAAAATAATGTAATATTTCTCAGCAAGAAATTACATTAAAATTAAATGTGTTTAAAGTTTAAATATTTTTTAAAACTGGCAGTAGTTCAATATTGTCGATGATACTGTCATTGGTAGTTCTATTCTCCGGTAGGCAGTTTTGAACTTATTCTTGCAAGTGTTACTATATATAGGGTGTTTTACTTAATTAAAGCCCCTAAAGGCTAGTAGCCCCTTTTATATTTTATTTGTTGATAGAGCATGTCTTATTTTGGCAAACCGCGATTATTTCTTGATGCAAAAATGTGATACTACTAGGAATTTAGGGAAGGTTAATTTAAAAAACGAATATCTCAATTTTTATACTTAATAAGCTTAATAACTTATACTTAATTAAGCATGGGTTCTTAGTAATCCATATTTTTTAGAACGAACACAGTGTTTAAATGTTTTTGGCATAATTGCAGGTTTTTAAAGCTCTCGAGTAACATTTAGATGAGGGAATAAAATTTACCTAACAAAAAAAATCATATTGATAAGACCAGTCAAGTAAAACATCCGGAATATATGTAAATTTTCTCTCAAATATGTAATCTTTCTGTAATTAATTTCGAATTACTTCCGTGTTTTTAACTTTTATTTTGCACACTGATCATAGATTAATATAAATGCCTAAAGATAGTAACTTTACTAATCACTGTTCCAATAATTATTACTGGTTTAGTGTGGATGGGTCACTTTTTCTTCAATTTTTTTGGTGTGATATCCATTAAATTTATCTGCAACATTCATCACCAAGTTTTGAGACTAGACTACATCCTGTTATTTGAATATTGTTTGAATGGAATAACTCTTCTATCTACTCGTGTATGCAAAAGTTCGGATTTTCTCACGGTTTGGTAGATAAGAAAGAGACATTTTTTTCTCTTTTAAGATTAATATGTAATTTTTGTCTCTAGAGATAAAAATTTAAATGTCAAATTTATGACTTTAAATTGAAATACTGAATTAACTAAATCTGCAACAAAATATATGAGGAACCTGTGAAAAATTAAGGGCTTGCAAAATATATAATTAAGAAGTTGTGAGAATTGAAGCAATTTTTTGATAGTCAGTTCTGCTTACAGGTACTAATTTTCAGAAAAATAGAATTTTGAATATAGCCAAACATATTTTATTTATAAAATATAAATTTTTATTTATAGATCTTGACACAGGATATCAAATAAAACAAAAGCTTTTGTTTTGCCACACCTACAGATGGGCAGCGGACATGGTGTTATGTACCTGCTGAGAATCATTTGTGGTGTATGTTCTTTGCAGGGGAACAGATTGCATATCAACTGCACTGATGCAACAGAATATGGAAACTTACAATTATTAATGATACTTACTATATATTTCCAAAACAGTATAATTCAGTACACACACACACGTACCAGTCTCGTGTTGGGAATTTAATTCTGTTAAAATCCAAGCAGAAATATCATCTCACTTTTTAATTTTTGGCAGGTATCACTTAACATACAGACCAGTACTACAGAGGACTGGTAGTTTTTCCCTAAATTTATCCTTATGTCTCGAAAAAAAACACGCACTTTAAATAATATAGAGCTATGGAATGTCTTTATTCTAAAAAATAATTATAAATATTTCAAGTTACTTATCTAGGATAAATAGACAAACACATGAAGGAATAAAACAACACTCCAGCGAGTGTAAGGCACTTAAAACGCAAAATTAAAAATAAAATGTTTGAATAATACTAATACAGAAAGAAAATATATTGCAGCGGAAAAAAAGGACTGGTAAATTCTGGCACGTCTCCTATTTTATTCTCCCATCCCTCGCGTCGGTAATGGCGCCCCAGAGCTCGATGATCAGTTCGTCTGTGAATTGGAACGCTTGGAGGTCGGAATCGTCCACCGCCTCAGCAAAATCCATCGAGTTCTGCTTGCCATCGGACATCTCCCAAATTTGCGTCGCCAGTTCGGAATCATTGATGCCCATGAAGGACTCCAGGATGTTGTTTATTTTCTCGATTCCGGCGTCGAGTGCGTCATCCTGCAAGAGATAAGGTCGTCATAAAACTGTAATTTAAAGATAATAGTACAACAGTTTGCGAACATCGTGACGGGGTATTTGCAAATTGTAAATACGTGTGTGTGTATGACTGAATCCATAATTAGATAATGTTTACATCATAGATAAAAATATAATACAATGTGGGGTTAATTAACAATATGCATATAGATACAAGCACACGAAAATTAAAAATGTGGTTATTTAAAATTAACCTACTTTGCCAGCAACTGTAACAAACTGTAATATACAGGGTGTTCCATTTAAGATGAGTCTTAAATAAGTGGTAATAGTAACAATTAACTTTAAATTCTATGTTGTCGTTCAATATTATTTTTAATGTAGGTGCTTCTTCTAATGTGACTCCCTATATATTATTGTCCTTTTTCAATAAACTGTTGAATGTATGGCTTGCTTTGATAATAATCAAAATAATAAAATAGAATCTAAATTGTACCGTTTCGGTATTATTTGACTTTTTTTTCGATCAACGTTTGCAGAATTCTGGAAATATCAAATATTTCTGCAATTGAACATTATAATAAGATACGGTTTTCGCCATTCATTCAAGCATGAAAAAAGCTATCACTGTATATTTACCTCATACATTTCAAAAGAAAACGCATATTTTATTATTTTTTAATGGAAGACTAATATGTTAAATTGACGCAGACAGATACAAAATTGAATTTACTTTTCGATTTTATTAAGAAATAGACCCCAATGTTGCATGTCTCTATAGTTTGCAAGATATGCTTATATTTATTATTGTTATTATAGCGGATTCTACACAATAATGGAATTTTCAAAACCAAAGTGAACTGGGACTAATATTAAAAAAATATTTACAAGAGAACCAATGGGAATTTATGTGTTTGTAATTTGATTCTTTCTGGGTCTTACTAAAAACCTTGTATAAAATGTAATTTTGGATTTCGAAAATCGAGATATGTAGTTAGGTTATTAGTTTTTTTTTTTCAAAAGACGCTTACCACTATTTTTAAATTGTTAGCAAAGTAAAAAGTCATAAAAGTAAAACAGTAAACAAAACATTGTATAATAACATAATATTGACAAAATTGTATTGTAACAGTTAAAATTTCCATTTTTTCTTAATTACTTTCGGGTAAAGGCCGGTTTTTTCAACGTTCAATGATTTTGGAAGTTTTATTCATCTAGTTCAAAAATGCCTACCATTTTGGTAAGCACAAAATCGAATACGTTTCTTGAAAATACAAATATGTACTATCAAATCCTTATAAATCCCCTCGAGGAAAAGTTAATGAAAAAGCCTTATCAAATCTATTTATGCGAAAAATATTGATTTGAAACACAGTTTTTATTATTTTAGATTGGAAAACAGCGATTTTATGAGGCATTCATTTTTTAACGCTATAACAGTAACAAACAATACGAACAAAAATTATTAGAATTAAATTTTACACCTACATGTTAAATTTAACATTACGTCCCAGTAAAAAAAAATATGTTATCCATGATCCAAAACTTGGAATTTCTAATGCCTGTAATCACGTTTTTATTGATATTTTCGAGGATGATGTAAATATCAATTAAAAAAAAGTACCGAAACGGTATGTTTAAAAGCCAATATCCATTTATTGAGACATTCAAAGAAAACAATATAAAAAAATGATAAAATACACTTACACAGTTACAAATATGTATGCCAAAATTGTTTGATTCCATCAGTTCAGTTGAAAAACAATGAAATGTCAAAAAAATTAGTATAACTTTTATTATTAATATTTTTTCGGTGTCTTATGATTTTTTCTAAGCGTGTCTGTGACATTCGATGCTTGACACAGGTTTAGATACATCTGTTGATAATTAATCGATACATAGATCAACATACATACTCGTAAGTCTCAACGCGAACAAGGCCCTTTTATCAATTGGAGATAATAATGTCAATCAAACTTTGATTGGAAGTTTATTCAAATTAATACCAAAAATGTTTATAAATCCTTATCAAAAGTTGTACACATACTTTAACAATATCTAAGAATGTAAAGACACAATCGACAAGTTAGTAAATACCTAATAAATATCTATGATGATCAGTTTGAACAGAGATTAACACGAAATTCAACCACGATACGTTAGTTAATATATTTTTGTATTTTTATGCAAGAATAGTCTTTTCATTAAAAAATATTAAATTTAATCAATTTCCTTTACTAACCTGCTGGCCGATTTCTGCCTGCCCTCCCGCCTTAAACCTTAAGGTTTCTTTTCCAGTGCCGTACGATGGTGCTTTTTTGCCAGTCTTCCCCGTTTTAGGCGCTATGCTCGTGAACCCGCTCTTGATCGGTTCTATCAACCTAATAGTAAATGTGGAACCTTTAGGGATATCTTTCAGCAGTTTGGCAACTTCGAAGTGCCTTTTGCCTACCATATCTTCACCGTTCAATTTTTCTATGTGGTCCCCGACCTATAACAAAAAATAATCTGGTTGGTTTCTCACTACCGTATAGTTTCTTTTAACTGATCCTGAATATCAGTGGACACTGATCCCCAACAAATTATAATATAGCTTTTTGTTTCTAGTCCAATTGAACAGTAAAATTATATCATTATTTAACTAAAATAATATAGTCTCTCAAATTAATAAAAAGATATAATAAATAATATAAAAAAACATATAAAAATAAAAACATATGAATAAAAGACAATCATATACAAGTATTTTGAAAATTAAAATGGGAATTTCTACATATTTATAAAAATTGTTTTTGAAACCAACTTACAAAAATACCAGTTGTTTTCTTAGTATTTTTGTTTGTAATTTAAGGGTATTGTTCTCATATCAGCTGAAATCAGTTCAAAATCAACTCGATAATTTAAAAAATGTCATCATTTCTACCGTTTATTTAAGTGCTGTCGACAATAATACAGTTATGACAAAAATGTTATTATTAATCACAGATTAGATAGTCGCGGTATACTGTTCTAAATTTTCAACTTTAATAACACTATTAAATATTTTAATGCATTTTGATTACTATTAATGGAGAAACCTTTATGTAAATGTCAACAAAACTGGAAATTCTACATTTTATGTATGTTTCTATCACTGACACATGTCTTATAGCTTCTTTGATCTATCTGCTAGGTATTTCAGTATTCAAAACGTTTAAAACATGCTTGAAAAATGCCATCAAGCTTTTACCTGTATATGTGGTATATTATGTATAACTGAGCCTTCTTTGATGCGTTTTATAAAAGCGTAGCCAGCGCCATTGTCTGTTATCGTTAGGCCTAATGCGTCCTCTGTTTTTACTAATTCTACTTCCTTTGGTCTACCTGGAAAAGAAAATGCAAATTGTAGTACACAGGAGATGGTGTCATTCTATGTATTTTTAATCTTTACTGTCATTGGGATCTGAGTCTACTAAATAATAGTATGCCGTCCCTTCCTCCGCACAAAATTCCAACTTTTGAGCTAATCCGTGCCTTCGGAAGAAGAGATAAAAATATTATTATTTAAATATGAAAACTTACAATAAAGTATTAATTTATTTTTAGAAATAAATGAGAATATTATTATATTTTCTTGATTTAGCTCAGGTTTTTATTTAATTTTCCTTGAATCGAATAACGAATTGCACTAATTTCAACGTCCTAATGTTTCTAAAGGTGCCGACTGCAATTTTTTTCATGTACAATATCGTCGGTAAATCAGTTCCACGAAATATTGACACTGACATCGATGCGAAACAGAGAGTAACTGTTGGTAATAAAGGACAGATACTTTCATTTCACACTTGACAGCTAGAACATAATTTCTTTTCTTAAATTCTCGTATTAAATAATTATCAGAGTTTGTTTCCACTTGACCAAAGAAATATTTGTTCCAAGGTTAACCAGGTATGTGTGAGGCGAGACTATTAACATGTTATCTTTAGTAAATGTTAAAACAGAAGATCGTTGATCTTGAAGTTTCACTATGCATTTTTTTAAATGCTCATATTGACATAAAAGTATGACTTTACTATAATCCGACGAAATTATATTCTTTGTAATTACTCCAGTCGATTTAAGTAGTTTGATCGTAAAAAATTATTAGTAGACATTTTATTTTACTCCAAAGAAACGTAACGAAAAAGACTTTCAAAAAGTTGAATATAAGTTGCCCTTTACATCTAATAAAGTACGACCTGCAAAACAGCGTTACACATAAATTGTTCCAGGGTCAGGCAAAAGCCGCTCGGGAATTCGCTCTTTTTGCATTAAATAGAGTTTATTTTTATGGTAATTTTAAAAAAGAGAAATCAAATACGCCTCTTTGTTCCCAAGATAACTTTTTATTATGTTAATTGTTAATAACTATTGGACATATCGGACCAGACAATTAAAGAAGGGTTAAACTTTTATTTTCAAAAAGTTTTACATTGATAGTTCATGTAATAAACGCCCTAGCAGTAAAAGTTAACGTTAATGAACAGCCTGAATGCGGGAGAAAGAGCGCAAGGCCCGCGCATGCCCGTGAACGCCGCTCTTGTCGCGAGTGAGTTTTTTGACTTGAACGTTTCAAATTCAGATTGTTTCTAAAATCCCGATCCGATACATCCAATACTTAATTAACGATTAACATAATAAAAAATATATATACTATGTATGGGGTACGTTGAAAGATGATGTTTACTCTGTACCAATTGAAGACAGAAATCAGTTGCAGAGAAGAATAATAGACGCCTGTGATAATCTCAAGCAGAGGCTACATGAAATCATCGCGGGGATAAATTCTTTAAAACGAAGATGTGAAATGTGTATTAATGCAGCAGGCGGGCATTTCGAACAACTTCGTTAGACGTTATGCAGCTGTAATTATTTTCAATAGTTTTATTAAATATTGATTACTGAATTGATACAGTAATTATTTTATTGTCGTTAATTCAACTGCAATTTGTAGGTCTATTGTAATAGTAATAATAAATAAATTTTACTTGAAAATGATAATAGTTACGAAAAACTTACAAGGATAATTTTTTGTCCCAAATTAAGCGGAGAATCCAAAAAATATTGTTTTTTAAATTTAAAGCCAGTGGCGTACTAATATATTTTTTTACTAAAGCAATGGAGACCCCTATTTTCTCCGTCACTGGTAAAGTAAAAAATTTGAAAAATTCTCCAAAGATCACACGTACAGTGCCAAATCATTTATAAAATGGGTGAAACCTCATCACCTACAGAAAAATTCGAAAAATATATTTTTTTAACGCGCTGTATCTCAAAAAGTAAACATTTGTCGGGTATAGTTTATTTAACAAAATAACATTATTTTTTGATAATGTATTGATTCTTGAAGTTTGATAAAAAAAGTGGACCACCCTGTATATCTTGGGAACAAAGACGCGTAGGTGATTTCTCTTCTTTTTTTAAAATTACCATAAAAGTAAGCTATATTTAATGCAAAAAGAGCGAATTCCCGAGCGACTTTTGTCTGACGCTGGGACAATTTGTTTATAACGCTCTTTTGCACCTCCTACTTTGTTAGATGTAAAAGGCAACTTAATTTCAATTTTTTGAAATTTTTCTTTTTCGATACGTTTCTTTGGATCAATTAGAACCTATATCTACGATATTAACTTCTAAAATTTAGATTTTCCAAATAGACTTTATTAATTTCAAATCTGCAACGAGTATATTTTGACAATCATGTGCACCAAAATTTCAGTATACATAATTATAATTCAGACCCACGATTTTCCATATCTTTAATTATATCACAGCATAAATTAATGGGTAAAAGATCTGAAACATATTAAAAAGAGTAAATTTTTCTCAGTTTTATGGGTCTAAATTTTATTTCTCCACGGAAATTGTTTCTTTGCATCTATACAGGGTGTCATAGAATAACGTATACAACGGAGGACCACAGATTCGTGGACTCAAAAGAGGCAGATTTAGGATTAAGAATTGGCAGGTACAATGACTTAAATATCAAACTGAGGGGTGGCAAGATAATGTATACATTTAAAAAATATTTTTTTGTACTCAAACCGCTCATTTATCAAAATTCTACAAGAGGCCCAAAATTTTCCAAATGGTATCACTTATCAAATAAAAAATAGTTGTCATTATTGTCCGAAAGAGGAAAAAGTTATGAACGGATATTATCACCATACATCAATTTTGTAGGAGTTTTAAAACACACTCTGAATAAGACCGAAATGTGTATTGAAAGCAAAAGTCCACACCCAAAAAATAATCAAAATCGAGGAATACGTATTCGAGTTATTTACAAAATTAAAAAATCTGCCTATTTTGAATTCACGAATCTGTAATCTTCCGTTGTACACGTTATTCTGGGACACCCTGTATATGCAAAACATACTTTCTACTTTGTTTCAATTGAAATTGAAAATTAGGTACTTCACTAATACGGATTATACAGAACGAACGTTGTTGTTGCGAGAGAGAAAAATGTTAATTTACAATAATTTGTTAACCACCGGAAATTAATATAAAAAAAAAATCTAGAGCTATCTATGCCTTTGTTGGTATTATCAAAGAAATCTACGACTAACAAGTCATTCCATTACAAACAGAAACATTGAAAAATGATATAAGATCTGTGACAGGAACAACAAAATATCTTCCAAATGGGACTACCAGAGATTTATAATTAATCTGAACTTTTTACCTTCCCGTTTTCGAAGTAATTGCAGGAAGTGGGTTGTATAATGCCCAGAGGGGACCAGTTTTTGAATACATTGCACAGATTGAAAATAAATTATGACTTCCTCAGTTCAAAGAAATATACAGTTACAGTCACTACAAAATGCATTCCGTACAGGTCTCAAATGTCTGTAGATTAACTAATTTTAGGTAATTTTAGACGTCCTTTTCTTGCGATCATAGCTTTTTAATGCAAATAAGTTCTGTATTTTGAAAATTACAATTATTCCTCTCAAAATTCTCATTATTCGTGCTTTTCTGGAGGTACCGCTATCCGATTCCTGCAAAACGTTCTCTCAAGATGGTATCCTCTCTTTGCCATATGCTGAGAAAGTCCTAATTACGTAGTTTAGTACCAGTTACGGCACATTATTATATTATTGATGTATGTAATGCTTTGGCAAGTTAAGATTTAATTAATGCAGAATGTTATCGTCAGGTTAAATCACTAGTGGGTTTACTTATTCCCATGACGAAAAAGAAGCATATGCGGTATGCTGTAGTAATGCTTTGGTGTACGAAACAAATGGTTGCTTAAATAAAACGTAGTTAATTATTTATTTATTCCGGAAAGCATGTACCGTATAAGCACCATTTAGCACCAATAATTTAATAATTTATTCGTTACAAGACAATTTATTTATTTAGCCTAATTAACATTATTAAGCTTAATTAACAATAAAGTTGCATAGCTTCTTTGTAAATTGTTCCAATTTAATGTAAATTGCTTATCGCCTAAGTGAAAAATAAATATATCTACTTTATTTTCTTTGGTGTTCCAAACCCGCTTTATTTTGAAGTAGACAGTATTCCGCCATAATACCCGGTTCCATGGTTGACTATCTTGTGTAAAATAAGGTTCCAGAAATGTTGTCTCATATTTATTAAATGTTTTCAAAGCTAACATAAAAACAAAGACAAATTTTACGCGACATTGAACAGAGTTGAGACTATATAGTTGAACTTGCAAAAAATCTAGTCTTCCTTTGCTGCTTTTCTGTACTATTTACAAGCACAGAATGTCGAATTTTGGTCCCAACTGTACTTAATCACTGTACTATTTGCTTAAGAAGTACTAGGTAGAACAACATGTATTTAAACGTTGTAAAGGTGGTATTTAGATACGGCAAAGCAACAGGCAGGGACTATCAAGGATTTCAAAAATATGCTAGGAACGTACCAGCTCCAGATAAAGGACGCTAAAGCTGATGCTCTTTCACTTATTTCCTTAGGAGCAGTCAAACGTGACTCCACAGGCCTTCTTCTAACAGTTTTAAATAGAGTATTCGATTAAATTCACAATATCTTCCTTTTACTTTTAAGAATGATAGTGCCATTAATAGCCAATCCTTACAGCTATGTTATAAGTTTAATATCCAGGAGAAATACTTTGTAAAATGTAAAACGTCCGAGAAATAGTTCAAATTGACGTTGAAATAAATAATTTGGAAATAGTTGGAAATATTTTAACTGTGTGACTATTTTAATAATGATTATTATTATTATAAATAGTAGTTATATGAACACAAGACTTGTCAACAATAAAATTCCAGAGAATTTTTCTTTTGCATGGAAGAAATTTGCATACAAAGGCTTAATATTTAACGGTAAATATTTACAAG